CCCGAATCCAACTTCACCGAAGGCCTCTTCCTCGACTACCGCCACTTCGACCGCCCCACCACCAAGCAAACCCCCGAATTCGAGTTCGGCTTCGGCCTCTCCTACACCACCTTCGCCTACACCAACCTCTCCATCACCCCCACTTCCCTCTCCCCAAACTGGCCCGAATACCCCTCCCCCCACAACAACAACACCCCCCTCCCCCAAGGCGGCCACCCCGCCCTCTGGGAAGTCCTCGCCCTCGCCCGCTGCACCATCTCCAACACGGGCGCCGTCGACGGCGCCGAGGTCGCCCAGCTGTATGTCAGCGTACCGGGAGCCGGGACGGAAGAGGATCCGGCGGCGCCGGTGCGCCAGCTGCGTGGGTTTGCGAGGGTGGGGCCGCTGGTGCCCGGCCAGGCGCGCGAGGCGGTGTTTGAGTTGACGAGGCGGGATTTGAGTGTTTGGGATGTGGAGGGGCAGGCGTGGCGGTTGAGGAGGGGGGGTTATAAGGTGTGGGTGGGGGGGAGTAGTAGGGATTTGAGGGTGGGGGGGGTGTTGGTGGTTGGGTGAGGGGGGTTGGTTGAGGGATCGCGTTGGATGGGTGGGTGTTAGGAGAAGGTGGCGTTTGGTTGCCCCAGCTGGTTGGTCCTTGTGGAAGAGTCCTGCGAACCTGAACTGTGTATCCAACCAAAATTCTTATCGGCGCCAGCAGGGAACGGGAACCACTCAATTAGGCTTAAACAATGGACTTAAAGCTGGAGGCGGGGCCACTCCAGCCTCGGAATGTGCCATTCGCGCCTGATTCATGCCCAACGCCTTGTTGTGGCTTCCCACGTACACTCAATGTTGCTTTTCTGTGGCCTGGTATGGTGGGATTTGCCAGTCCGGCCTCAGCTGAGCGGAGTCTCATGTTGTGCCCGTTTTACCCCAGGACATCGAAACAAACAAACCTGGTCGAAATATACACAAACCTTTTTGCTCCATCGGCTTTTACAAGCTGAAGTACGGTCCATAGCCCGCACGCTTTGAAAGGTTCATCTCAACCTGCTCTTCCAATGCTCGAGGAAGGCGGACCACCAGGTCCAACAGCCAGCGGGCCATCCTCGTCGACTGCCATGGCTTCGTCAATAAACGACCCCCTTAGTTCCGATCTTGAACGACAGGACAACTTCCTACCTTCGCCACCATGTGACGAGTTCGGTGTTGCGATCATTTGCGCTCTACCCGTCGAGGCCAAGGCCGTTTGCGCGCTGTTCGAGGAACAATGGAACGACGAGGGCTTAGACAGGGCAGCCACAGACACGAACTCGTACACGGTCGGTTCCATCGGCCCCCATCCTGTCGTCCTGGCGCACATGCCCACAATGGGCAAGGTGGCCGCCGCGACCGTCGCAGGAAACCTCCGCGCCAGCTTCCGCTATCTTAAGCTTGTTCTCGTCGTGGGCATTTGCGGTGGCGCCCCCGGGGCCTCCAAGAATCCGTCCGATGCTGTGTTTCTCGGCGATGTGGTCGTGAGCACCGGGGCCATCCAGTACGACCTTGGGCGACGGTTCCCCGGCCGTTTCGTCCGCAAAGACACTCCCCGTGATAACTTGTCAAAGCTATCCGTTGTAGTTGATTGTTTGTTGGCCAAGCTACAGGCCGTTGGGGCTGGACCTGGCAGCAAGTTCTCCGACACCGTGTCCCTCCATCTAGACGCCCTTCAACAGCAACTAAACCCAAAAACACCCTACCCAGGCCGGGACGAAGACCGACTGTTTCAACCCGACTACCTTCACAAACACCACGAGCTTTCAGAGTGCTTAGTATGGAGTTCCCCTCCGCGGCCTGTAACCCCACCTTTTGCACACCGCCTAACTACAGTATCTATGGCGTAGCATAGACAGCATAGAACCACAACACAGCCTCTTGAATGGTAAGCAAACCGGCTCAATTCGCAGTGCTAGTCTACTATATACTTCCGATCGCTCTCCGCAAGCGCTTTGGTGACACCAAACCAAGGGCAACCGGTCTTGGATGTGGTAGTCCGTCGGAGCATTGCTTTGGAGGTCTTCTCGCGGCCACCGCGGTCGCAGGCAATTTCGTACCGGGTAGGCGAACCGTTGACGTGATTTGAAGGCCTCATTTTGGTGAATCCCACGCCTCGTTGGCGGCCCCAAGCGTTGAGGGCATTCAGCAGAGCTTCCAGGGTATCGTAGGGCTGATCGGGCAGGTTGGGAACCCCGTGAGAGATGTCGTTAGTCGTCTGCAGGCGGCTGCCGAAAAGAGCTGTGAAACGCTCGGATGCAGCCAGGAGATGCCCAGCCTGGCACCCCGCTCGCCGCCGGAAGGCAGGCTGCAACCAACGGTGCACTTTGGCCTCGTCGCCTCTGGAGACACTGTCATGCGTTCCGGAAGAGACCGGGACGAAATTGCTCGCCGGGATGGCGTCATTGCCTTTGAGATGGAAGGCGCCGGATGCTGGGAAATACTACGCGAATCTTCTTGCTTGATTATCAAGAGCGTTTGTGACTACGCTGATAGCCACAAGAACAAGTTGTTCCAGGATTATGCCGCCGCAGTGGCAGCTGCCACAGCCAAAGCCCTACTCGAGAGTTGGGATGCCCGTGAGTGAACCATATTCCTAGCTACCTAGTTAACGGACTCAACAAAGCTCCAGGCTAACACTCAGGATGTCACAAAAAGACATACCGGACTCCCTTCAGCCTCTGCCCTCCTGGCAAGCCTTTCGGAAGAACAAGCGGTCAGGTTTCAGTGTTGAAGAAGCCAAGTTGCTGGGAAGCCTCAAAATGGTGCCATACCTAGATCGGAAGGATCGAAACCCACATCGAGTATCCGGGACTTGCGAGTGGTTTGTAAATCACAGCCTTTTCAACAACTGGCTGACGGGCTCTCAAGGCAGCCAAGACTGCCAGGCACTCTGGGTATCCGCGGACCCAGGATGCGGCAAGTCGGTGCTGGCCAAGTATCTGGTTGATCATATTATCCCCACGACTCAATCTAGAACGACGTGCTACCTTTTCTTCAAGGTCGACTTTGAGGACCAGAAGAGCGTGGCCAACGCCATGTGCTGCCTCCTCCACCAGCTCTCTACTCAAAACCCTGTTCTCTTCGACAAGACGGTCCGCACCCAACTGGAGGCGGAGGGCGCAAATCTCGCCGCTTCATTCCAAAGCCTTTGGAACATTCTGCTCCAAGTAGCAGGAAACAAAAACGCCGGAGAGATTATCTGCATACTTGACGCCCTCGATGAATGCGCAGCAAACGACCGCCAGGTACTCGCTAAGGCGTTGCTTGACCAACATCGCACAAAGAGGGCGCCAAATTTGAAATTTCTTTTGACAAGCAGACCCTTTGGGTCTATCAGGCGTGACTTTCAGCCGTCCGACAACACAGAGCTCGCTGTTGTCCATCTAAGTGGGGAGAACGAAGCGGAAACGAAGCAAATATGCAAAGAAATCGACATTTTTATTGAAGCCAGAGTTCGCGAGGTGGGGGCGAAGTTGAAGCTTGACAAGGGTGAACAAGACCTTTTGCTCCGCGGTTTGCTGAGGATGCCACACCGGACCTATTTGTGGGTGTATCTCACACTCGATCACGTCGAGAACAGCGACAGCATCAACAAGCGCAAGATTAGAGAGGTGCTTTCACGACTCCCCAGGTCAGTCGACGAAGCATACGAAAAGATCCTCTCCACGAGTTGTGATCTAGAGGAGCTTAGAAAAACTCTGCATATCATTGTGGCAGCAGTGAGGCATTTGACGCTCCGCGAGATGAGCTTTGCGTTAGCGATACGCTCCTCCCACCGGTGTTACCGAGAGGGTGAGCTGGATCCGGATGAGCGGTTCCGAGAGCGGTTGAGAAACATCTGTGGTCTGTTTGTGGTTGTCGTTGACTCGAAGATATATCTGCTTCACCAAACCGCTCGAGAATTCCTGGTCATGGCCGACTCGCAACAGGAATCTCACAAAGCCCCCGGGCCAAGCAATACAAAGTCCAAATGGAAACATTTTCTGGAACCAACCGAATCGCACCAGGTACTTGCAGAGATTTGCCTCTGGCACCTGCGGTTCTCCGAACTATCCGAGGGCACCCCCGAACCACTCAAAAAAGAGAACAATAATTCTTTCCCCCACTTCCGCCCCATTCAACTGCGCCTTTGCGTACGGAAATATGAGTTTCTTGAATACTCGGCCTACTTTTGGCTCGTCCATTTGAGAGCGCTGCAAACGAGAGTTGACGAGAAAATGGTACAGGCAATGCTGGAGATCTGCAATGCCTGCCACCAATATCGCCAGTGGTGGTTCAGAGCCATGGCGAGTGACAGACCAGGTAAAATGCACGAATTCTCCCCATACATCACTAATGACCTGACCACGACTCCTCTGATGATTGCTTCATATTTTGGCCTCTTCCCAGCTGTCAAGGAGTTCGTAAGAGCAGGGTGTGACCAGTTGCTCGCCCGAGGCGCTAGGGGTAGGACGGCTCTGGTCTGGGCTGCGGCGTGCGGCCACGCCGATGTAGCCCGCGCCTTGATCGACGAGCAACCAAGGATGCTCAGGAGTTTTCAGCGGTTAGGGATTTGGAAACCCTTCATCAACGCAACGGATGATAAGCGAATGATGCCACTGTTTTGGGCTGTCAAATCTGAGTCGGCGGATATCGTGAGGCTGCTCCTTGACAACGGCGCCGACGTAAATGCGAGGCGATATTGGGGCAAGACGGTGTTATCATCGGCCTGCGAAGAGGGGGGACTAGATGTTATCCAACTGTTGCTCGAGAGGGGTGCTAATGTAAACAAGCGTACCTTCGACCCCGAGATGCTGTCACTGGAGGAGCCTAGTGAAAGATTCGGACACACCATGAGCATTCTAATTCACCTCGGAGTCATCATTTGCAGGTGGCGATGGGGTTGGGAAGGTAGACCGCCGTTGTTGGCCACCTTAGAGTCTGGGTCCGAAGACATCGCCAAAGTCTTGCTGGAAAACAAGGCCGACATTGGGCTGAAATGCAGAGGGGGCCACACACCTTTGACATTGGCCTGTAAGGCGGGCATGATGGATACGACCAAGTTGTTGCTGAAAAGGGGAGTCGATATCAACCAGAAAGGCCCGATGGGGGTTCCCGCTCTCTGCTATGCTTGTCAGAACGGGCATGAGCCCCTTGTCAGGTTTTTGGTCGAACAAGGCGCCAATATCGTATCGATGGACGGGGTCCGTTGTATTGTATGGAGAGCTACACAGATGGTCGACCAGAGTTTGATTCCATTGGCAGGTTCTTGCTCGACAACGGTGCAGATCTCGAGGCAAGGGACTCAGAGGGTGCATCGATCCTTGTGGCCATTGCCGCGTATGGTAACGATGGCGGTGTCAAGTGGCTGCTCAAAAACGGCGCCGACATCGAGTCGCAAAATGGACATGGGGAGACGCCGTTGATGCTGGCTCCATCATGGAGCTGGGAGCGGACGGGCAAGGAGAAGACGAGCAAGGAGCGGACGGTTTGGGCACTGTTACAGGCTGGCGCCAATATCCACGTTACCGCCCGAAATGGGATGTCGGTCCTGCAACTAGTCATTTCGCGTTTTGCATCGGTTGCCATTGCTAAATGGTTGCTCGAGCGTGGGGCAGATATTGAGCACAGAGATAAACAGGGGAGGACGGCTCTTTCTTACGCTCTCATCCACATATACAATCGGGATCAGCAGGGTGAAATGGTCACTGTGCTGCTTGCGAGGGGCGCCAAAATACACTGGAAAGACAACAAGGGACAGACAGCTCTGGCTTTGGCCGCCAAATACGGGCGGATGGGCATTGTCAGGTTGCTGGTCGAGCATGGTGCGGATATCATGGACATTGAAGATGTGGATACTAGGGAGAAGGTTTCGTTGGCATGCCGTGAGGCGAACAACCCGCCAACCTAGCGGGTGTGCGAAGGTGGCTTGTAGGATGGGTTAGTTCTTGGTTCGATGGCGCTGATACGAGGGTATAAACACAAATTAGCAATTATTCATGCATCATCATCTCATCTGAGATCTCCTGCTCAACAGCCGACGAGCCCCCTACCAGTACAATACTAAAACAATATCGCTCACCCACTTACACCCGCCAGCTTGGGTAGTTACTCCCCCTTTACCCGCTCCCCATCCCCATCCCCACTCCCATCCCCCTCCTCCTCCTCCTCCTCCACCCCCCAATCCTTCCACCCCTCCCCCCTCACCCAGCTAATCCCCTTCCTCCACGCGCCCTCCCTAACTGCCTTCGCATCCCTCTCATACACCACCCCGGTCAACATCAGCGCCGCCACAAACAACCACACATCCCCACCGCGCATGGCGCGCCACCACCTGCGCTTGACCCCAACCTTCCATAGGCTCTCGACGCTGGTCTTAGCGCTCGACAAGAAGACGCTGCGGGGTCCCGCGGCGCCGCCCTGGTGTAGCAGGGCCCAGAAGCCGGCGACGAAGCCGCCGAGGAAGAAGCGCTGGGTGGGCAGCAAGGCGCGCGGCAGCCAGGCCTGGAAAAAGCAGATGGAGGACCAGGCCGTGGCGAGCGAGCCCGTCAGGAAGCCGGCCGTGCGCAGCGCGTTGGAGAGGAGGCCGCGCAGGGTGGAGAGCGGGAAGTGGTAGAGGGCCGAGGCGCGCGGGAGGAGCATGGCCGAGTAGACGACGAAGAGGAGTTGCGTGAGGGGTGGGAAGGAGCGCAGCCAGAAGTTGAGGTAGGTGCGCGTGCAGGAGGGGTCGGAGGGGTGCAGCGTTGCGCAGGAGAGGGAGGTGATGAGGGGGTGGGCGCCCGAGGTGATCGGGGAGATGGCGCCCAGCGAGGCGGGGAGGACGTCCTCCTTGGTGGGGAACATGGTGGGGGAGATGAAGGCGCTGGGTCAGGGATTAGTGTCGTCTTCGGAATATGAGGGCAAGGTAAAGACTCACGGCCAGTTGAGCCGCGCCATTTGTGCGAGACTATCGGCAATTTCGCCGGCTTGAGGCCACCTCAGACCGGCGGGGTAGTCCTCCGGCTTAGGGCGGAGGTAGACATTCGAGTTCTTGAAGATAAACTTGCCCCAGAACTGGACAAACGTCAAGTTAGCAATCGGCCTTTCTCTGCCCGCAACCACGCCACTCACCGAAGGGAAGCAGTCCCTATCGAACACGAGCGCATGGAAGAGCTGCCCAAACGCAAATGGCTGCAGCATCCAGCTGCCCCACCACCACGGCCGCGCCCTTGCCTTATCAGGCTTGCCGTTCACCCCTTTCTCCCATCCCCACAGCATGCCGTTGTCCTCGGCGCAGTTCCACCCGAACTCGAGAGCGCGGAAGGCCGTGTACAGAGCAGCCGTCACGCGCAGCTGTTTGCTGGGGTACACGCCCAACGCTAGACCGGCGAGGGAGGCACCTACGGCGGGTGCGTAAGGGGATGACAGCGCGCTCGCCGTGGTGGGGTTGCGCAGCCGGAACGGGGCGGCCGACGGGTCGAGGATATGGGCGCGCATGCGGTTGAAGAAGCGGAAGAGGATGCGGTAGAGTAGTAGGATGGTACTGAGGGAGAGGGAGAGGCGGAGGCTTGATGATTTGTGTAGCGGTTGCTTCTTTTTAGTGGCAGATGCGCTGCTAGAATGATCGTGTCAGCTTGTGTTCTCAGCCCCGCGTGAAGTGAAAACCACCGCGATTGAGCCCAACATACTCTTTCTTCCCCAATACCCTCGCCGACACCACCTCCCAAAGTTTCATCAACGCGCCTGTCGCGACGAACACGCGAATCGAGTGTCGGACTGCACGCGCATTGTACTCCTGGGCGCTGTGTACGGCGGCTGCCCTCTCGTCCTCGCCATCCCCCTCTTTCCCTTTCCCTTTCCCTTGCGCAACCTTATTCGCCGACTGGGTTTGCCCTCGAGGACCGTCTATGATCCTTTGCACGGTTCCCACCGCCGGCGCGTGCTTCTTCAAGGCTCGCGATCGCGAGATGACGTATTTGTGGAGGGTCGCATATTCTCGCGCCGAGATGGTGTAGCGAAGCGCGTTGCGAAGGATGGGGTCCGTCGTGGATTGTGCTGGGACTGACGAATGGCCGCTTGATCCGGAGCTCCTAGAGCCAGGCGCCCCCGCCCTCGAAGCCATCTTGGGCTGTGTTTGTCAATTGTTGGTGTTGGTACAATCGCGATTGTCGACCGATTTCGTGATGGCTATCGGAGCCCCTGACTAACAGCCCCGGCGCAAGAAGGGGTGTAGATTGAGCCTAATAAGCTCTTAAAGATCGGATGCGCGTCCGTCGCGTAATACTAGGCCCTGGAAGCTATAAACAACAGAAACGTGAGCTGCTGCTGTGTTTTCCTTCGGTCTTGTGTCGTCGAGTAATTCGAAAAGATGGGACGAGTGGAAGACCAGGAACCAAGGAGGATGTCGTGCATTGACGGGATTATTACCGTGGAATTACCTCCACATTCCCCATCCATGTGCAGCAAAGGAAGCCTCGGTTCTGGGCTGAGCCAAGACATTGGATTGGGCTTCCCCACACCCCACATTCCCTTCGTCATGGCATCCACTTCCCAGCAGTTTCACATGCGCCTTCTGGACTCGAAAGGGGACGACGGGGAGCAAGGAATCAAGAAAAGAGGGAAAGGAAAAGGAAAGAATTAGAGGAAATCAAGGTAAAAAAAAAGAGAAAGAAGTAAAATGAATTAGGAAAAATGAAAGAAGGAAAGAAAAGAGAGAAAGAAATAAAAGGAATCAGGAAAAGAGGAAGAAGTTAAGAAAACCAAGAAAAAGAGACGTGAAGAAAAACAAGCAAAGTAAATTAAATGAAATAAAGAGAGCCAAATGAAAGCAGATTATGGGCTTCCGAATGGATGTCTTTTCGTTCCTCTAGTCGAAGGTTTCGGCGGCACCAGGCTTGGGGTTCGGCTTTTCTTTCGGCCAAAGAGTGACAGTGAACATGCAAGGAAGCACCCCATTTCCAGATCTGAGTCTGGGGCTGAGCACACGGCAACGTGTTTCTTGAAGCAGTACACAGTACCTACATAGAAAGCCAACGTCAACGACCCCAAACGCCTGGGAAATATCTCATATTAGCATCATAGTTCCGTTAACCTTCTTCACCCCTCACCCCAGACAGTTCTCACCCAGAATATGCTTCTGTCTCCTTCTGGTATAACTAACCATTATCCTCTCTTTTTCACCCCCGTACCGGATACACTTGACAAGGTTCTATCATTAACAACCCAACTCCTGTTTTCCTATCCCAACCCTAAGCATCCGTACGCAGACCGTCAGAAAAAAACGGGTATGCCTGCTACTTAGTCTACCCCTCGACGAGAGTCAACACCAAGCAGGTGCCAACCAGTCTCGGGAGTCTGATGTATTCGGTCCCCTTTTTGAGTGGGACCGGGTTTTGGTAGAAAACGCATGAACTATTTCCGATACGCCAGGGCAGTCAATACGACCTCGCATCAGCCACCCAAAAAAAAGGCGGGAGCTGGTCGCCCCGCGCCCAGAAGAAAATCCCCAAGCAGGAAAAGGAAACCGGCCATAGCATCCCCCCCTTTCCCTCTAGCCTGCCCGACAAACGAGGGCAAGCGATTTTATGTAACCGTGTGACTCCAGGCGCGATGCAAAGAATGCCAAGCAGGATGTAAGAAAGGTGTATCGACCAACGAAGCAGGATAAAAGGAAACCACATGAACCAGTAAATGCAGATGCGAGCGGCAAACCCAGATACCCTACCCCCTCCCCCCCAAACCAACTCCCCAAAAATCATCAAGTCGTGAGAAGTAACCGGCCAAAGGCAACGATGGCAATCCTCAGGTACTGACGCTGGACGAGGTCGGCTGCGACCACGTATGGACAAGATAGGGGAGGTCGCCAGGAAATACCTCTTCCTTGAATCCCATGTTATTGACCCAGAAGTCATCCATATGTCCAACGACCAGGGGCCCTGTCGCGTTCTCTACTCGCTCCTGGTAGACGCGAAGCAGTGGGTCCACCTTCTCCAGGATGCGCTGACGCCTCAGCTCACGCTCGACAATGACGTCGTTGATCATCGACTGCCGAGATGCGGGGGTGAACTCCCCGGACAACTTGGCCAGATGGGGGTGCTCCAGGATCTGCTTCAAAGGCTCAAACGGCAAGTTGAGCAAGATCCGCGAGAGAATGGTCTCGTTAGGCGTCGGAGCACGCGAGGGGGAGTATCCATTCTTGGATGGCGAGATATCCCCAAACTTGATCTGGGATAGACGAAGGTTCGAGGACACGCGCGGATTCCGCGGCATTTGGGCTTGGCTCAAGGAGGACTGGCGGCTATGGGCTCCACCAGACGTGCCATTGGCAATCGTGGGCGCATTCGGGCTGCGCACCAAAGGACTCGACGGGGGGAAACGAGGGAAGCCGTAATCGCCTGCGTTCACGTCGAGGGTAAAACCGGCAGGGAAGTTGTGAATGATGAAGGCAAGAACTTGCTCTAAGAGCGCCGAGACGTTGAAACCGTCATTTCGTGGCGATATGGCCGTGACCCGCGAAACAAACTTGACAGCCAACTCGATCGTGCTCCAGAGGAGAAGGCTGCTGGCGCGATGAATGGCAACGGAGTGCACCCAGGGTAACTGCAAATACCGTGCGGTGGCAATGTAGCCGAGCGCAGTCTTGAGATCGTCTACAGCATCTCGCAGGCGTAGTTCGGTGGGAAGAATGCCGTCGGCAAAGCTCCAGCCGTACAGCGAACGGAGTGAGTACCAGAATATGTCTGACCGCATATACTCATCGTTAGCCTCCAGCAAGATGACGCCGCCTAGAGCGGTTCCCTGGGATTTCATGACCCCAGCCAGCACGGGGCTGCGAGATAAGATGAAGCGGTGACCGTTAGTTCTGAGCACACGGTGCAACTGCCGATAGCCGGGATGGTCCTGATATTCCGGGCTATCGGGAAAGTGGACCTCAAGCATGCAATCGTGGAAAGTGTTGTCCGAAACGCCATGCCTGAGGAAGGACAAGGCCTCGTCCTGGTCACGTAGGGCCTGGTAGCCAGGCATGGATCCCGGGGTAGGATTCCCGGCACCAGGCATGGGAGCATTCATTCCCGGTGGAGGCATCGTGCCTTGTCCTGCAGTTGTGGGAGGGCGGGCGCCACTGCCGTTCGCAGCCGGGTAGTGGTTGAAAGCGTGTTCCTCTGCTTGCATAGACGACTGTGATCCGTGGAAGCTATGGGGTGTGGGAGGAGCATGGTGGTTGATAAGTTTGGGGGGATATCCATCGACGGCGGAGACGAGTAGCGCCCGCCCATATCCGTCCATAGGCGGCGGATACGGGAGAAGTCCCGGCGGAGGGGCGAAGCCGCCGCCAGAGCGAGGGGCGGGTGAAGAGGTGTTCGAGTCGTGAAACCCGTTGAAACCCATGCTTCCGTTACTGGGGCGAGGGTGATGAAAACCCGACGTGTTTATGGGCGCCGCAGGGTGTGGGGCTATGATGGGGCCTTCGGGGGCCCGACCGGAGGTGCCCATGGGCTCGGGTGCGGGGTTGGGGAGTCCCGGAGGTCGATGGCGGGTGGGTGAGAGCATGCGCCGGTCAGGGACCGCGGAAGAAACGGTTGGGGTATCTAATGGTGTTTGGTTTGTCAGCCAACCTTCCCGCCTCGAGGGTGAAAGCTGCGAGGTGCCCAGGGACAAATGAACGGAGGGTTGACGGCGAAGGACGAGGCCAGAGAAACGAGGCGGGGGTGATCCAGAATAAAAAATAACCTGCAAGGAAAAAGGTGAATGTCACATACGATTATCGCATTCGCCCAACGTTTCCACTGGCCCGGCTGGCTCTGGCTTGGTGGTAGCTTGAGCGGGAGGCGCAGAGGGGGTTGCGGCATCGAGGTCGCTATTGGAGCTTGGGCCATGCCCAGTGGCGTTCCCGTTCACCTGCTCCCCGCCCTCTTTGGGCACGTGAGCAGCCGTCTTCTCCTCAACTGGCCGGGTAGCAATTTGCGCCTTGTTCGAAGACGACGATGGAGCTGACGGGGCGGTGATTTGCTTGCTCGCTGGGCGTTGTGGGTAGTTGAGGGGGATAACAGGGACGACGGGTCGGTGGAGGGGCCGAACGGCGGGCTTGGCGGGCTTGCCTGCGGTTCCATTGACAGGCGCCATAATTATGGAGTTAATGGAAGAGATTGTGGTGATCAAGAAGGGTGTGAAGATCGCGGTCGGGATGGAGAAGGCCGGAGGCGGCGGAAGCAAGAGTCGGGAGGAAGAGGCCGAGGGGAGAAAAGAAGGTGGTGAAGTGGAATCAAAAAGCCCGAACACTTGGCGGCGTTCGCAGAACTTTGACCTGTGCGACGCGCAGCCTAGCCTTCTGTTTGCGACACTGGTCCAGCGAAAAGTGGCAATTGGCAGCTGCAAGGTGCAAATAGTACGTTTGTCTGCTATAAAGCGGCGGTGTCGGGCAAAGAGTCCACAAACGGCGAGCACACAAGGTTCAGCTTTGATCCAGGTTCCGTTTAACGCGAGCAAAGCGAGACCTACGACGACGTTCCTTGAACACAATTAGAGCGAGTCACTTTGGCTCTGGCCCGAATTGGACCCAGCCAGCGATGATGCCAAAATTTCAACTTTCCCCGCCGAAAAAAAATAATGCCGAAGTCTGATTGGGCAGTGCCCCTTGTGGGGGAACTGAGCCGGTAACGTGGTCCGTGCGGCGAGCTGCCTGGCCAAAGCCGCCAAAGGAGAATCAACAACTGCGATGCGCGTGACGCAAACAAAACCGAATAGAATACCGTATCAACAATGCGCCGGCGTTGGACCAGAAAGTCGACAATCACCAATGTATCGATATCTAGTTTGCTCTGTGATCATGATGCATGCATGACTACGCTTTAACCTTTCAGAAAAGCAGTTTGTTTCAACCTAGCTACCTACTCCGAGACCCTGCATGGTTCGTTCGATGACCGATACACGACTTACAATAGATTCGCTGGCCGAACAGTGGTTTCCTTGTGGTCCTCCATTGCGCCTACTCCGCAACCAGTCGTTTGTTGGCCGGCCTCTCCTGAATATTGAAGTCTGCAAAGCTTTTATTTCACCGCGCGACATCATGCTCCAGACCGCTATTTTTGCGGGTGTCTCTTGGACATCGGCCGATCTGTCGCCGTGCGCTTACAGAACGTACAACAATACAACAATACAAGCAATACAACTGCCAACTCTCGTTTATGAGCATCCATTGTTTCGGCCCAATTTTCCACATTACTGAACTTGATGCAGAGGATCGCCTTGGCCATCGGTCAAGCTTCCTTCCTGGCAACCCCTCCATGTTGGCCACCCCTGTCGGGTTCCCTCGGCATTCGATTAGGTCTGCGGGGGAGGGGCAGTCAACGCTAACAGCCGATCCGGGCCGATCCGATGCTGGGCTGTCAGGCTGCTTGTTCGATGCTGGCGTATCACAAGCCACTGCTTGCTCCAAGGAAGACCAAGCCATTTGCAGGCTGACCGAGTCTCGCCCTCTCACACAACGCTATCGAATAGGTATATCCATGTTCCACCACAGTATCTTCGGACTCTCCGAGAGACACCCGACACCAACCGGGCCTAGTTATTGAGCCGCGATGACATGGCCTTAGTATGCATTTTTGCGTGCCTGGTGCCAGTGAAAGGCCAAGTTTGGGGGGCTGGCAAGTCACTGATCATAAAATCACCACAGCGCTTTTTCTTGCATACAACAAGTAGGTGCTAGATTTCAGGCGAGAGAGTAGAACTCGACATGACTCTCACCAAAACATACTATTCCACGAGAGCCCGCGAAACAGAGCTTTATCTCATCAAGATATAGAGATGTGAAATTATACCTCACAGGGCTTCCAGACTCGACCAGTACCTAGGCTCAAGCTCCTGTTCTCCAACAGTGTCGTTTCCTATCCAAGGACCAGTGTGACAGTACTTCATCGCTTAACATTGATGGCTACTGCGAGTGATTCCATCCCGGGAAAAATGCCGACGACGAGTGAACTGCGGCTGACTGGGCAGCGGCGAGACTGGTCCTCTCCTTATTCGAAGACTCTGCCGGCAGCCCGGCCAAATACGAGCTCTCGTACTCGTTGTTCTCGCCGGCATCGTTGTCGTCGAGCGGCGGTGGCCTTCGGTACGGATATTGTGGCACCGGCTCCCCGTCGATCCACAATTTTCCGATACGGCTACCGTCAGCGCTGTGGTGAAGCTGCTGCCTTCCCCCGTTCTCTTCATCGCGCTCTCAACCCGGAACGAATCGCACATCGCGCATTTCCCAACGCTTTCCGTTGAACCAGTCCCAACGGCCCGTCCGCCACGGCTACCCTCTGATCCGCCGTACCCAGTCTCTGCCCATACCGATTCATCACCACGCTTGCGGCCATCAACACCCCAGCGCCCGGGGCACTATCCCCAGCTCCCCTCTCACCTGCCCCAATCCCAAGCTGTGCCCTTCCCGCCCGCCACGCGAGCACACACCCCTCATTCCGGCACCCCATCAGGCCAAGCGTGCTGCGCGAGTCGAACCGGTTGCGCGCCCACTCGCCACACCCAGCACACTCCCAGTATACGGGGTCGATGAACCGCGGCGAAGCATACAAGCCCCCGACCGTCCGGATGAGCAGCTTAGCGCTCGAGTCGCAGCCGAGTGGTCCCGGATACAACGCACAGTTGACACACTTGCGATGCCGGCAGCTGTCCCGCCAGCAGGCGTTATAGTCTTGTCCGCCTCCATTCCCATCCCTATCCCCATCTCCATCGACTCTTCGGCCCCAGCCCGTACCCGTATCCGTCCCCAGTCCCTCCCCTCTCGCTCCCACTCCCCCTTCCCAACCCATACACCCCCAAACCACCACGGCCCCCACCTCGCCCCCCCGATCCTAAATTCCGGGTTATTGATTAGAGGTGCTCGTATGCCATCTCGGGCCGTCTCCCTGTCCTTTTCCGGGTCCCTGCCCCTCTCCCTTTCCGTGTCCTTTTCCGTCGCAAATTCCCTGTACCTTTCCTTCTCCATTGCCCTTTCCCTTACCCTCCCCCCATCTCCAACACCCTCCCCTCCCCTTCCCCACCTCCCCTCCCCAGCAACCCCAACCCCATAACTCCCACCTTCCCTCTCCAAATGCACCATCCCCACCGGATCCCGATACCCCTCCTGCGCACACCGACAACACAGCCACCGATTCACCCGTGCCTGGGCGGGTGCCGCCTCGCCCGCGGGATAGCGCACGGGGAAGGCGAGCAGATTGTACTGGGCACAGATCCGTGGCGAGGGCAGGCCGGGCGTGGGGAAAGTGAGGAGTGTGCGTGTTTCTGGGTGGGGGTGTGGTTGTGGCGCTGGCTGTGGCTGTGGCTGTGGTTCTGGGGAGAGGGATATGGGTATGGATAGGGGTATGGGAATGGACGGGTATGGAGTGTAAGGTGTCGGCGGGCTGCTGCCTGTTGAGGCGGCGGTTGTTGTTGTGGTGTCCATCGTCGTGGTGGTGGTTGGGGAGGGCGGGTGGATTGTTCGAGTTGATGCTGATGTTGATGTCGATGATGATGCGGTAGGGATGAAGGAGGTGGGGACGGGAGCGTGTGGTCGGTAGGTCATAGTGGTATTGTTGTCGAGAAAAACGCAAGTAAGATAGACTCCGTAGGGGGTATGGCAAGTCGGGGTATGGCAAGCCCAGTTGTTGCTGCTCGCAAAAAAGCTGGAAGCTGCTCATAAATATAACGACAGTTGTAAAACAGGGTCGGGCTCCGGTGGTATGATATTTCGTTTGCTGGAGGCGAACATGTTGACAAAGTCGAGAACAGACAAGATGGAAAGTGGCAAGGGAACGGTATTCCTGGGTGGGAGGCATGGACGTGGGCGTGGTCGTGCCCGACATCAACTAAAACGCCGATATCGTTCACCGCCCGGTGGCGCCTGTCGTCGTTCTCGAGTCCGGGCGAACCCGTGGCCCCCTGCGGCTGACGGCATGCCTGTGACAACTTGGCCGGTCGCACACTGCAGCCTGCCGGTTGGGGCCTCTCAACATCCTCTTTGCTGATTCTCGTCCAACGGCGCCGGGGAATAGAAAGACTGCCAGGGTATCACAGCACAGCGACCTTGAGTAAAGGGTCCGCAAGGGCTATAGGGCCGCAAATGAGTGGACATTGGATTTCGTCTATGGCGGGTTGTTCCCGGTAAATACACACGATATTAGACGATCCCTGTGGCACGCCGCCATCATAGGCACCCGAGAATCCTTCCCTAAGGGTTGCACCACATGGTTACAACATCCACTAAACTACCAGACGCCCACCAAATAAATCCCTACCGAGACTGATGCCCACACGTGATCACCCACACACCAAACAACGTAACCAGCCTCATTGATTGCAACCGCTCAGGCCTCCTCGCACTCGGACGTGGTATTCGCAGCGTTGTCCTCGTTGCTTGACTCCAGACGAGACCGAAGGTCGAAAACCTGCTTGAAAAGAACGGGGCTCAGACGCAGTTCCTTTAGAATGGGCTCTAAGCCGGTCTCGTGGCCATTCGGACCCTCGATGTCCTGGAAAAGTTCGGGGCGGAAAGCGCCAGATTTCCGGGCATGGAACTTGAGTTGATTGATGATGTCAGCAGGAAGCTGGATCTTCTCGCGCATAGCGCTGTCAATCATCTCCTCATAGTCGACACCGCAGTTGCAGTGGCTGTCAAGATGAGGAGGGGTACCGGGAAGCTTGAATCGAGCGACCTTGATGGCTCGTACCCTCTCAGCCAAGACCGCAACACTGCCTTTGTATGTTTTGGTTGTAGGGAATGGTAGAAGTTTAGTGGTCGCAAGGCTGGTCATCAGTGAGCCGAGTTGCAAATGCTGGCACGACTGCTTCAGCTCCGCATCCGCGTCTTTGGCACGGCAATAGTTCGTGCTCTCCTTGTCGCCGCGCATGAGTTCCCGAAGAGGATCGTCGACAGCGCGCACGATTGTAGCCAGGAAATCATTGCGGGTCTCCTTGAGCAACTCTGGACAATTCAAACAGATTAGAGGAAATTCACCTTCAACAGTGGGTCTGGACTCACCAAGAATGTCCGTGGGGAGGCCATGATCGTCCCAAGGTTGACCAGAAGCGTCAAGCAGGCTTCCATCGTCGGCAAGAGTGGCCTTGCGTGCGGTTTTGGACAACATGCGGGAAAACCAGCGGCCTTCGCCAATCACCCAGGTGAGAAAAAGCGCCTTGTCGTCGTCGTTAACCTCACTCTTCATAACGAGGTGCCAGTCGAGACCAGCCACCCTAAAATGCGTCAGTTTGTTTCGATTTGAAGGGGCTGGTACTTGGGACGCACCATTTCTCCATGTAAGGAACCAGGAGATGAGCACAATCATATTTCTCCACGACTCGGGCGATGCAATAGAGCTGGTCGACATCGGGGCGTTCCGGAATCTCGTGGAACTTGTAATGGATGATCGAGAGGAGAACATCGAGGCCGTAAAAGTTGTCAGTCGGATCAGTGAGTTGGACGACCAACTTGCCGTCGGTCGTCTTGTTCGGTTTGAACCGGTCAAGAAGATCGCTGAGCTTCGGGGATGCGGCGACAATGAGGGCAGATACGACCTTGCATTGAATGGGAGTACCCGTCGAGTCGCGGACCTCGAGGTATAGCTCAGCATCCTGGTGGTACGATACGACCGAAGACAGCTCTTGTTTGTCGACCGCGTCGCGGTTTTCGTCATCGCTCTTGATCGCCGTCTCGTCAGAGGACGTAGCTTCTGCATGATCGGAGGTACCCGTGATATCCTCGACTGATTCAACGACGATGGTGGTGGAAGTCGCAGAGGCCACCTGCGCTACGGCGGTCACAACCGGCATGGTAGGCTTTTTGATCTCGGGCCGCGTCATGATTGCTGTTTCCATTGTAGTTCCCGAGTTTGTTAGAAAACGAACAGGCAAGAGAAATTAGTGGGCGCAATCAAAAAACTGCGGCCGTGGTGGTGGTTGAAAAACGGAAAGATCGGACTCGACAACAAACTTGGCCCGGGTCCGAGGTAGTCGAGAGGGACGAAAATGGACGAAAGGGAGATTCAAGAAGAAAAAGATGAGACAGGGAAAGAGAGTCCAGTAAGGCAACAACTCGCCACTCTCCGTGTTGGCTGGGAAAGGAAGGAGCAAGCCGCAAGGCAGTCGCACCGTGGAAAAGAAGGAAAAGACTTAGTTAACGACCCGTAAATATTACCTAGATACAAGATTGCAAAACGGACCACATCCCTTCCAACCTGTCAACATCTTGTAATGGAACTTCAGTGATTTCCATTGTTTACAACTTGGCTACCGTTGATAATTGAATGTTGTATTGTACATACCGTAGGCTCGAGTCAGTCGGGGTGGTATTCACTGCTTCATACTACAACAGAAATGTCGGACACCCAGAGGCAATTCCCATTTGCTTTTGATCGTTCAGTTACGATTTCAGTTGTTGGGAATATGTAAGATCAGGACCTCGATAAAGTGCTTACAGATTATACGCCACACAAATTTGGGATGGGAGAAGAGAAGCACAGATTGGCGTTATGCATGTCAGACGGGCCGAGGGACGGCTGGGCGGGATGAAGTTCCTTGTAATACGTTCTCTGTTAATGATGAAGCGGTTCGGGCCACCGCAGATGCTCATGGGAATTACAAAGCTTAAACGACAAAGGAGCTATATTCGTAGAATTACTTTATGTACCAGATTCTGTAGCTAGGTTCACTTTCGGGTCATTTCATGCCCAAAATCCTCGTTAGACATGTCTTCTTTAAACCGTCTCTGCCCTCCGTCACCCCCCACCAAAATAAACCCTCTTCTTCAAGATCAATGCGATCGCCCGATTAAAAGGATGTAAACACCGATAATGCAAGTGTCCCTCCACCAGATGCCAGTCTGTTCTGTGGGCGAGAGACAAAAAGCCGCAATACAGGGGTATAGAACGCCCGTCCCATGTGGGGTATAATGCCGATGTGTTCGAGATGCTGCCGTGATGCCGCCAATGCTGCCGAAAAAAATGATTGCGCCGACCCGTGCAAGATGCGAAGAAATTCCAACCCCAAGAACCAGCCAGAGCGCTGCTCTCCATCCATCAAAAGAGCGGCTAGCCACCACCGAACTTCAAGCTCAGCCGACTGCGCCCCAGAAACAACTCAACGGCGGCGCATGCTAAACAACCACCCCTTCCAGCCCCTAACCCTCACCTCATCGGGCTTCTCAGCAGCAGCAGCAGCAGCAGAAGCCTCCTCCCTATCATCGAGCTCCAACCGGTAGCGGACCACACTCCCGCGGTCGTCCTCGAAGCCGACACGGCGCTTGCTCTGCGGCACGAAGCAGTCGGGCACCACGTGGCGCATGACCCAGCCGCGCACGCCGTTGCTGGCGGCGTCGATGGCCGCGTACTCGAGCCGCCGCGTCCGGTCGCTGGTCCAGTAGTGCGTCGTCTGCGGCGGCAGCGGGTACGCTGGGGCTTCGAGCGCGAAGCTGGGCGTCGACGCGAAGTCCTTGGCGTTTTGTCGGGCGACGACGGCGCCGTCGGTCTCGACCAGGGTGGGGTCGGATGAGGTGAAGTGGGGGAAGTGGAAGTAGGTGACTGGCTGTTGTGGTTGTGAAGCGAGAGAGCGGGAGCTGCCGGGCGGGGACACGGAGTGGCGGCCGTTTCTTGGCCGATGAGAGACCGGGCCGGACTTCGGGGACCGGTGGTTGGGCGGCCTTGTGCGTCGCTGGCGTGTGGAAGAGGAGAGGGAGTTGGAGGATGAGGTCCTTTGGCGGGATGGCAGAGATTCCTGGGGGGCTATCGACTCGTAGCCTGAGTCCTGCCGGCGCATTTCTCGAGCCATGGGCCTCGGTTCCTCCTTTGGACCTGGCGACGGCCGCGGTGGGCAGACAATCGGCTTCTGGACGGGCCAGGATGGGACCTCGGGCTCGGGCAAATCGATGTCCTGGAAACTATGGTACGTCGAATCGGACCGCGCCAGGCTCACCCGTGAGTCTGGGCGGTCGATGGTTGTAAGGTGACTCAAATGGGACGTGGCGGCCATGGTTGTGCGACGAAGCCCGGAACTAGAAGCATCACAACCGGCACAGCTCGGCAGTGTGTCTCGAAACGCCAACCAGGAAAAAGGAAGGAACAGTCCAGAAGGATGGGAGGAAGCGAGATTCTTAATATTTCGATGAGTGGGGGGGTACGGCAGCCCGAATGCAAGCATCCAGATCTTCTCTGTATGGTTGCCGCGAGGGTCCTCCCGGTTCGGTCAGAGCCAAAGTTGCGGTCAACTAACCGCTCGATCGGAAGTAAACAACCGGGTGGGTATCCCTGGAGGGCTTCTGTGATCTCCAAGACGCTTGCAACCGGTTGTGCTGCGACCCAGCAAATAGAATGCGCTAATTGGGGGACGAGCTACCGCGAGCCAGTCTCCTATTCGCACGTATTACAGGCGGGGGACAACCCTAATGGGTCACCATGCTGCATCTGCAGGTCCGTCTTTTCTAATCATGCAGGTGACCTTGAATTGCTGCAGGCCCCTCATCAGGCATGAAATCGAAGCTCGGTTCCAGATGAAACGGCGGGAGAAGAAGCCGCGCACAGAGCCGCGAAGTAAGCTCGTCGAGAACCAGGAACCCGGGTGCTGGCCAAAAATCTCGACTCTCTCAAAACCTGTTCAAGCGAGGAGGCCTCTTTGGCTCCGCTGTCGATCTGGCGAGGGATATAATTCCAGGATTGTGCGGCAGTAATTTCTCCACGCGATCGCTGCCCCCCGGATTTGTCCAGACTTGTTGGGACAGCTGAACAGGCGGTCAGTTCAAATTCGAGACAGGGGATGGTGGAGGGCCAAGCGGTGAGTTAAGACGGCTTTCAGACTTGCCCCACCTTTGACCCCACGTGGAGTGTTGGGATGGTTGAGATCGACTTTTTTCACAGTGAGGGGTCGAGAGACGGAAGGACGATAAGAATGGGAAATGCTAGAGCGAAAAAGAAAAAAAAATAATAATAAGAAAACAGGGTAAAATAAGTCCGAGAAACGGGTCGAAGGAAATTTCGAAAGGTAGATGAGGTAGGCTTGGCGTCGAAACTTTGGAGAATTTTCAGTTTCTTAAGTGGTGGGGGTCTTCAAAGGGCGTGCGCACTTTCAGCCCGATGTCGCTGGTTTTGTGAAAGGCGGGACAAGCCGCTGTCAAAATGTGGACTCGAACAGGGACGGCGAAGGCGGGCCGACAGGCTGGATATGCTCCGGGGTCGACGGTGGAGCCTTTGGTCCAACGTTTTGCACACCGAGGTTTGAAAGGGGCAACTGATTCGAAGTCAAAAGGAAGAGCGGTGGGCGAGCGCGCGGGAGAGAAGCTGGGGCGCGTCGCTGATATTTGAGGTGACCTTTGCGGTCTGGGCGGGGGCACCGCCCTGGGATGCATTCCAAAAGTCGCGGTTTGGCCGATCGCACTCGGCATCCACTATAACTATTTTGATCAGACAAACCCGACTTACAGAGGTTGTGCCGCGACGACACTTCCAGGTTGCTATTGGAGAGGGGCTCTGGTGCGGCGAGGTTTCTTCACATGCCAGGCACACAGTGCATCTGCAGTTGTTGGCTGGCTCATCACTTGTCAAGGGCACATCGTTCTCCAATCATCGCTAGGCATTCTTGGAGGAGCGCTGAGACAGGAATCGGCGCCCTTGCTTCCTTCCAAATTTGGAACTGAGAAGCCAATCAGAGCCTGGCAGGTGACAGCGCCACGCCTTGGGTCGCCACTTGCGGTTTGAGACTCGTTCTTGACGTTTTTGTGCCAGAGAGCTGGACTGTTCCAGGCAACCCTGAAACCGCAGCACGAAGCTAAAAGTGATCGACGATCAGCTGCCAGGTTGAGCTTCCGACAAGACTCGAATCAGCCGGCACCGACCATCTCGGCCGAACGAGAACCAGACTATTCGTACTCTTGTTTGCATGCCTCAAAAGAAAGCCGAGAATGGGTAAAGCAAACCTCTCCGTAAGAATGCCCAACATCTCAGTTATGGCAGCACTGGGCACTAAGACGTTCCATTTTCTGATGTGGGGCATCGACAACGCTACTAGTAAATTAACCTGATGTGGCGGGACAAAGACATTGTTTTGAACAAGTCCTTTGGACTGGAGAGCTTTCCGAGACTAAGCGCATTGTTCACAAAACAGCCCGAAAGCCATGGCAAAAGCTGTTCGAGCATATAATAGTCACAGCTTCCGAAGTGAGCTCACATTACCATACCAAATTGGTTGACATGGTAAGCTTCCTGCTTGGTCTAGTCCAATCGGTCTCCTAGGGTCTGTAATTGGACAAAGGAGTTTAAGGTGTGTTTTTTGGGGTTGGGTTACGCGGTACGTGGTACGGTCATGAGCATTGGTTATTTCGAGGGGTCACGGAAAACTGGTCTTTAGAAAAGGTGGGCAGGGTAGGTTTCCATATGGCTACGACTCTACTGGGCCGGATAAGGGCCCTTTATTACTACATAGGCTTGCAGCGCAAGGTAGTAGAAGACCAAAAGGCTGGCCTGGAATTCTTGCAAAAGTCTAACGTCATTGTAGACGCCGCGCTGGAGGAGGAAGCTGAGCAATTGCAAACCGCTCATGGCATTCTAGACGATTTGGATGGCCGCCTGGGGCAAGCTATTGCTCTTTGGCGCCAACTGCCCATTTCTGAGAAAGAGCAGAAAGCATTGCCTTGGCCTCAATTCCCTGAACCAAATCCGAAACAGGAATCACGGAAAGCACCCGTCAAAAAAATCAAGATCCGCGCTCGCCCGACACGAGCTATACCTAGCCTGACGGACCCGGCCGTGGGTTCTGAAGCCCGATATATACAGCAGTGGAAAGAGTGGACCGAGGCACGGACGGTCCCCTTTTTAGCAGCGATTCATCGGCCTAAAGGGGTGGCATGGTGGATGCAAGACAAGGACCACTACGCCTTGTGCCAGCCTTTGGAGCAAGCTCAGCTTGAGAGCTCTGCGAATGCCGCCCAGGTTAGACGGACATATGTACCGCCGCCTGCTGCGCCTGCCACTGCACCTAAGCTTGCCACTGCACCTGAGCCGGTATCGACATACTCGCACTCTTTTACTCAGCAGGTAAGACAAGCCCAGAATCGCCAACACCACGCGCAGGCTCCCCCTCTCCCGCCCCTTTACGGGGTAGAATTATCTTATAGGAGAAGCCGGGCTAACTCGTCAGATTTTTGGCTTGATGAAGATTTTGAACCTGACTTTTGGCAGAAGAACCTTCGGCCGGGGAATATCTGGACTGACCCGCCGCGGTATCCGATACCCAAATCTGAGCTGGAACCAGTGTCTCCCAAAACAGTGCCGAGGGACATAAGAGTGAATAGTCTAGGAAGGGCTGTAGCGGCCAAAGCCGTCGAGCGATCAGTGGCGGCGGGGCTTCAAGTAGGCGGCACATGCCCGTCTTCGTACTTCCCTCAGGCAAAGAAGCAAGACTTTAGAGCCTTCACGTCGGATAACTCGAGAAGATACTGACTGAAGAAACAGTCAGAATCCTCTGGGCATGTATGAGTATATGAAAGTTACGAAAATGATCGATGACCTAACCCCCGCAATGTTACGCATTGTAATACACCATTCATTCTCTCCCACTCTGTTCAAATTTAAAGTTAGTATGACTGTGAAACCGTGTTATGTATATTAATTTCCAACAGTACCTAGTCACTAGTCTCAATGGTTGGGGGTTGTATAGTGTCAACATCGCTGACTCAATTGCATGATGTGGTTGCCCTCGTCTTTAACCAGAAAGGGAGGCACGCTACGGTACCTAGGTAGTGACATTGAGTTAGATGCTCCTGATGAAGCGTTGATATCTTGAATGAGGTGTAGTAGACATTGCTCCATAAAGACAACCACGCTTGACGTGTTCTTCTCTCAAATAGACCAGGTCCTCCATCACCGCATACTATTACCTAGACAATGGAACCTCTGACATTCAAGAAACTGACTAATAGGTACCTACCCCAGTACCTGCCTATGAAGAGTCTCTTGCCAGCTTCACAACTTCCAAAACAGCATCCACAAACGCTTGCGGCTTCTCCTGGGCCAGATTATGCCCGGCACCCTCAACCTGATGATGCACCCGCGGACCCGTGAAATACTTCGCACTCGACGTCCCATCCGTGGCAGGGAAATTTCCATCCGCCAGCCCATCCAAGGTCACCGCCGGTACCGTAATCGGAGGCAGTTTCCTCAACTTCTTCTCCGCCTCCGCATAATCCGGATCCCCCGGCGCGTAAAACAGCCGATGCCGATATACATGCGTCACCACAGACACATAATCCGGATTCTCAAACGTCTCGGCCGCCCGATCCAAATCCTCCTCCGTAAACCTCCACAACGGCGAATTCCTCTCCCACACCAACCTCGCAATCTCCTTCGGTTTTTCCGCCAACGCCGCCTCCCCCCTCGGCGTCAGAAAATAATAAAAATACCAAAACCCCGCCTCGATCTTCACATCCAGCGGCACCCACGCCCTCTCCAAATCCTGCACCAAATACCCATTCACCGACACCAACCCGGCACACCTCTCCGGAGACAACGCACAAACCACATTGGCAGCCCTCCCGCCCCAATCATACCCCGCCAGCACCGCCCTCCCAATCCCCAGCCCATCCATCAACTCGACCACATCCTCCCCCAGCGCCGCTTGCTCCCCGGAGCGCGGCGTGTCCGGACGCAGGAAGGTGGTCGGGCCCTGTCCGCGCAGGTAGGGCACGATGACGCGGTGGCCGGCGGCGGCGAGCGCGGGGGCCACGTGCGTGTAGCTGTCGATGGAGTAGGGCCAGCCGTGGAGGAGGAGCACGGGGGGGCCGGTGGCCGGGCCGCTTTCGTGGTAGGTTATGCGGAGGCGGGTGGTGTTGAGGTGTTTGAGGGGGGAGAGGCGGGAGAGGGGGGTGGGGAGGGTGGTGTTGGTGGTGGTGTTGGTGGGGGTGATGGCGGCGGCTAGGGTGGTTGTTGCTGAGGAGAGCAGGGTGAGGAGGGAGGGGAGACGCATGGTGGTGGTGGCGGTGTTATTGTTGGTCTGGCGGGTGGGTATGTACACAAAAGAACTAATATGGCGAGGTGGGTGGGTAGGCTTCAAGACTCAGGAAGGCTTTGATTCAAGAGACTTATATATCCTTTTTCTTTTCAGGTCGGAAGCCGACATCATCATTTCGATGCCCCGTCGCCGGTGAAGAACAGAAATATTAATGAGGCTGAGTGGTGCCTGGTGATAAGCGAGCAGACAGGCAAGCCGTTACTCAGCGAGAGACGCTGTCTCATTTCGTTGGCCAGTTGGATTTGAGCTCATCGTCCGGAATAGGCAAGTGTAGTATTCGGCCACAGTTGGCCCACGACGAACGGATGATGCTCCGGTGGCAGTGCACAAGTGCTGACGGAATTTCAAGGGTCTGCGCAGGTTCTCAAGTCACCATGCTGGACCTCATACATGGGGCGTTTGGAATCACTCGCGACGCTTCGGGAAGGCTAAGACTTTGCCGTTGTTGACTTGCGTGTCAACCTTCATCACCTCGGCAAAGTCGACAAACCCATCGCGGGAGGTGGTGCCGGCGCCCGCAGCAACGCGGGTATTGGTAGAGAAGGACGGCTCGATACGAAGCATCGAAGCTTGTGTCTGTTGAAATAATGGTCGCGCACTGCTTTACTGGGAATATTTACCATCACTTGTGTGAATCAAGACTTGTACCAAGTTCCTTAACTACTTTTACCTTGTATCAACCCTTTTACTGCCGGGCATATCTAGGTAGTCGGCAACAAACCTAAGGGTGAGGAGCGCAGCCTATCACCTGAAAAATACCGCATTACCGACTCAGTCGAGGCCGCCCAAGCAGTCTCCAACAGGGCGGAATCACCCTACAAGGTCATGCTGGTTCGAATCTGTCGGCCCGACTGTCTAGTAGCGAATGAGAAGCATGATTGGGTACATGACCAAGTAGAGCGAGCTGTTGCGGATTAAGTTTCGACTCGTTGAATCCTGTGCCAATCATATTGATGGCAAACTTTTTTGTAGCTGTAACGCTGCATGGGATATACCTGATTATGTATCGTACAGATCATGAATATCTCCTTCATTCCGGCGGCAACATCAATTGTAAAATTTCTCTTTTTTCCCCCCAACCCTGCCCCCGTCTTGTTTGTCTAAACCCCCGAGGCATGGAGATACACTCTCTGGCCAAGAGAAGCCGATTCGAAAGAGAGCAAGAAACAAAGAAAGAGACTGGAAAGAATTAGAGAAAATCGGGGGAAGAGATAAAGGAACCGAGCAAAAGAAATGAAATAAGAAGCAGACCTTGAGCTTCCTAATGGCTTTCTCTTCGCCTCTAGTTGAAGGTTTCAGAGGTGATTAGGTACCTACAGGTAGTGTACACTTGGAGCTCGGCTTTTTTGGCCAAAGGGTGGCATGGTCTCGGATACGTACTCATAGGAAGAATCCAAGAACCGAGGGACAATCTCATCGCAAACATATCTACCTAGAGACGGCGGATCAGGGACTTCGAGCATGCGCAGATGGGTTTGACGTTGCTGTCTGAAGGTGGGCATTGCCTGCTGTAAAGCGGAAACTGGTTTCTCGGTGGAACTTGTCGGCATAGACGGTTTATATACTATTGTCGGCAGCCATGCCACAGCCGAGAAGAATGGTCTGTTGCAGCATCAAATGGGCGTGGGTGGTTGCATGAAATGACAGTGCCGGCAGCTGCAGCCAGCGAGGTAACGAAAAAGTCTGAGACTATACCTAATATCTTAAATTCATGAGCAAGACAAATACTCGGACCCAAACGTGGTTGCATTCGGCTGTGTTTACTCAGAGCTCGTCTCTCTAATAAGCGCTGCAATAATCGACTCTCACACAAACCGGGACGAATCACTCAACCATCGCTTCGTTACTCGTATCCCTGATCGTACCACCTGTGGAAGAGCCTCACGTCGCC